AAGAACTATAATAGCTTGCAACTAAAACTTAACAGAGTGGGAAAAATATGCACATCTTTTAGCAGCATTTTGCAAGGGAAATTTTTATAATGGTTCCTTACAGCGCTTTGTGCTAAATAGCATTGTTGGTGTTATTTAGTAGCAAGAGTGTAGTTGTATTTAAATTATTGGGGTAGCTGTATTTTGTAAGATGTAGTATTGTATTATGGAGAAATTGAAATAATTGCTTTGGTTTTTGTTTCTAAAAGAACAAATATATATTATTTTTTTGCTCCTGCAGTAATTCACCGAGGGAAGTGAAAACTATTGTTTTTTTTTTCTCCTCTTATAATATCTTCTGATTCCAGTTTCTAGAAATATATCTTCGAAACTATTCGTTTCCGTAAGAAAATAATGTTACGTGTCTAATGTTTTTAAATAATCTACCAGACGGACATTAATATAAAAATTAGTCATCTATCCTATTATACTATATATAGAGCCTTCATGAAAACTTCAGCAAAATACTTACTTAAGATATTTACTTCAACTTTCACAGGTAGATAGAAATGAATTCAGGAACATTACAGGGTTCGCAATGCAAAATACTTTCATATAAAACTAGAAGAAGCTGAAACTGAATTATCAAGTAATTAGTACTTAAGACTAAAATTCCTTTATAACTGAGAAATATGTTCTTAATTAAGTAAAACCTAGCTTGCGAAATCTTGCTTTAATTATGCAATGCACAGTTTAAAATACATCATATATAACATCACGCCTTTTATCCCAGAAGGGGTAGGCAATCTTGCACATTACGACACTTAATAATGCCACTGTACAATGTAACACCCACTTTTCACTATTTTATGTTATGAGGCCCATTTAATAGGCGGTAATCCTATTGCCATATACCGGACACAATTACAGACTCCGTGTTACTACTGAGAATGTATAAAAACCTAGTAATACTTTGCCCGATCCGGGAATCGAACCCGAGACCCTTTGCTCGGCAGTCGCATTTGCAAACACTCGGCCAACGAGGCAGTTTAAAATACTACTATCATAACGCTTTCTGTATATTTCTAAGGTAGTAGAACAAACTTGATTTATATACTTACGTCTTCGCTAGTCATATTACTGAAATTCCCCCTCCATGACAGTACGAAAAATAGCAGCATTTAAAAAATACCATCAGAATCGAAAACCTCTTTTTTTTTAAGTCAATTCAACTGAACTAAAATGATGTTCGTCACTAGAATCAAACCTGATGCTCCTTATTCTCTTCTTCTTGCTCATTTTACACCAACTTGACAAAGACATTACATCACCAGCCTATAAATGGCCACTGCTGAGCAAACCCTCTTCTCACACGGCGAAGGTTAGAGCATTAATCACCACGCTTGCTCAATGCGGGCTGACGTTGACAAAGGCATACCATAACACAAAGAAAAAGACAACATAACATAACAACATACCATCACACCTTTTATCCCCGAAAGGGTAGGCAGAGGTGCACACAGAAGTAACACCCACTTTTCACTATTTATGTTATGAGTCCCATGTAATAGGGGGTGAGCCTATTGCCAAATACCGGGCACATTTCCAGACTCCGTGCTGCTACTGAGAATTTTTTTTAAAACCCAGTAATACTGTACCCGACCTGGGTATCGAACCCGAAACTTGCCCGGTAGTCGCACTTGCGACCACTCGGCCAACGAGGCAGACAAAGAAAAAGAAACCATATGAATAACAGCCCACGTTACAAATTGCGTCAAAATGTAATCAAATCAAATAGCGTTTCATATGCATTACCAATTAACATGGTTTCCTTCGAACAAAGCGATGCTTTGAAGAGTAGATTTTAACGAGAAATGCCTTGCTCCCTATTAGGAAACGCTTAACCTTAATACCGGCATCCATTGTTCCTATTGTGGTGTGCACGAATTATTTTGAAACGCAAGCTGTAATTTAAGGTTCAACAATTTGTGTACCTCTATATGTAGGTGCTCGTAAATCTTTATACCTCTATATATAATTCTTCTGTGAGTGTGTATGCTACTGAACTTCTCTCAAACGACTGGACCGATTTTGATGAATTTTTTTGTGTGTGTTCAAGGGGATCTGGGAATGGTTTAGATTCAAAAATCAGCCCGGCAGATGGCGCTGCAGTCGATGTTTAGGTTATTTATCCTAAACAGCTAAACTAATTTGAATGAATTTTTGTTTATACATTCAAGTGGATATGCAGGACAACGTCTGTTGGGTTCGCTAGTATCTATGTTTACCTGTATGTATATTCGTGCGCGATTATCTCTCGATTGGCTGAACCGACTTTGATGCGGTTGAAGAAAAGTGTTTGTTAGACTTAGGAGAAGATTTTAGTAGGTATAGTAGTTAATAAACCGTCTATAAAAAAGAGGGGGTTGACATTGGTTTTTTCCTGTGTTCTTTTTACTAAACATAATATTAATATGACGTCAAGTTTCTACCCCTTCAAGTGTCTTATGCGCGGAATATTGTGCAGTGTGCGTTAGTAGAAAGATTTGCCTGTTGTAAAGGACTAAAAACTCCAAAGGGTTGGCTGAGTTGTACAGACAACGTAATCCACTTTTCAGTAGTTGCGATTGCAAGTCACAGTCAAAGCATTTATTTCAATTAAACCATAGTTTGATACTTTTGAAACGTCAACAAAATAATACAAAATAAATAATAGTCTGTCAGTCAGTCCGTCAGTGAAACTAGGTGAAGCTAGGTGCTCATTCCAAAATGTAGATTCGAATGGAGAAGAACGAGCAAGAAACTCCATTCGTTACTCTTTTTAAAATAAATATGTTCTACAATGTCTCTGATACATATTTCAATACAGTACGCATGTGTAAGAACAATGCAAAGACACGCTTGACGCATTATACTAATAACTTACAAAAAAAAAAAAAATCTTAAATCTTAAAGTCCTTTGTACATAAGCCTTTTGCTATGCATTCACCAGGCACAACAATTCCAGTTCCTGTATTAATATAGAAAAAAAATTTAATACTGAAAAATACTTCCCCTTCTTTTCCTTCCCCAATCTCCCCAATCCCTGAATCCCCACCGATCCTCAAACTCCTAATCCCCAAAAGGCCGGTAACACCTCACGTGTTCCAGGTGTCCATGGGCGACGGCGATTGCTTACTTTATCAGGTGTTCCGTCTGCTCGTTTACCGACTTATGCCATAAAAAAATACTTTAGGCAGACAGATATCTTGAAGTCTGAAACAGCTGTACTAGCAAACCAACGAAGCAATCTAACTAAGAAAACAGTAAAAAGTCAACAAACAGAAAACAAATTAATACCAAACTAAGTAATTACTCAAACTTCTAATTGGAGTTTTATGAAAAATATATTTTATTTTTATTCTTATACAAAACGAAACCATCTTCAAAGATATTTTCTTCATTAATAGACTAAGGAGTCACGAAGCGATTTTCACTCGCGCCCGCCGCGTTTTAAAATCGCTAGAAGAAGCTACAGATATGTACCTATGTAAAAAATCAAAGCCAAAATCAAAGTTAGCGGCTTCCCCTGCACCAGCGGGCGCGGCCGCGGTTCAGTAGCGGCCGCGGTACCGTGCCCGCGGTCTCTCCTCGGTTGGCGGGCGATCGACATGAGAGGGACGGTCCGGAATTCAACTGATTGTTTAACTGCCCGTCTGGCGATAATCAACCGCCAGTTTGCGGGTAATAATCGCAACCATGGCGGCTGTACGACCGCATTAAACTAAAGACTCGTGAGTTTTGCAAAACATCTTCATTCCGCCGCCGCGGGTGAAAATCGCGTCGTGAGTCCGCAGCGATGATGTAAAGATAGAACGAAAGATAAAGTTGCATCGTATTTATTTTATGGCTACTTAAGTTAATGACTTATTTTATGGTATTACATGTCGTTAATTATTTATGTCTATAGATTTAATAGGCTGTTTGATATTGAACTAATTGTAATCTGTAGTATAATACATACATACATTCTAACCTCACGCCTGTCTCCCATGGGGGTAGGCAGGGACTAAAGGAACGCCAATTGCTTTCGAATCTTATATTTTTTCCGTCCGCAACAGTCATCAGTCTTTTCACGCATGCTCGTCGGTTAAGGGTACTTTTAATTTGGCCCTTCTTTTATATATCGCCAATCTGGTCGATATTATATAATTATATTCATCTAGGGTGACCTACCGATGCTCCAATTTTCAAACGCAGGTAATATATGTGACGTAATAATATTATGTTCGCTATTCTTTGAAGAGTTTATCATCATGAGAAGGTGCTCAATTATTCATACTTAATCTTAGGTTAGGTAAACTTTCATATGGATTCCGTAAGAGACGTAGCGCATTGGACGCTCCGGATTGGTCTTTTAAGAGGACGGTGCTAACGGTTCCCTCCGGGGAAGTTGCAGTGAGGTAAAAATCCTATAATCTCTAGCCAAAAACTATGAAATGCCAATTTACAGAAGAATTTTATGTTGGATTGGAAAATCAGCCTTAAGTCTACTACGTCAAGGTATCGATTGACTATTAATATTTCGTTGAGTTGATAGTAGTCATTGCGTCATACCATATTTGTTATTTTTTGTTTCATGGCATAGGGCGGTAAACGAGCAGACGGATCACCTGTTAGTAAGTAATCGGCGTCGCCCATGGACACCTGGAACAGAGGCGTTAGAAGTGCGTTACCGGCCTTTTGGGGATTAGGAGTTTGAGGATCGTTGGGGATTCAGGGATTGGGGAGATTGGGGAAGAGGAGGGTAATTGGGCCTCCGGTAACCTCACTCACACGACGAAACACAACGTAAGCGTTGCTACACGTCGGTTTTCTATGAGGCCGTGGTATCACTCCGGTCGAGCCGGCTCATTCGTGCCGAAGCATGACTCTCCCACACTAATTCGAATAAGCATAGAAAAAGTAATAATAATTATATTTATTAACCACACATAAAAATAAATTCTAGTACATTACAATAGAGAATATTTCCAATAAAATTAATCTACTTTCAGATTCCGGAAAGACCCAGGCATGCCCATATATTCTTCATTAAACTTTGCCGTTGGTCGTTTGGACTCATCCGTGCAGGCTTTAGACATTATCTTCAAGTATTCTATATGTTTATCTGAAGATAATTCTTCGAGTAGTGCAGCTGTAATACGTAAAAATGAATGAAAGTCAATATAGTTATTATATCTTTAGGGAACAGAGTGGAAAGTTCCCTAAAATCGGAAAAGGAGGATCATCCAACCAGGCGAGGTGATCGTGCCTGGTGGGCTTTCTGCCCAATAATTGTTTGTTGGGATTTTCTATCCGTGTAAATTTGCATGTAAACTTTGCATATGCGATGTAGGATTTTTATGACGTCATCCGTTGCCAAGTGACATGTGTCGCCACATATAAAAATCAATTCAAAAATAACTTTCCTAATTGATTAAAGAAATACATAAAAATCCAAGGAAGCCTTTCTTATTTATAATAGTCGAGACAAAATAAAAGAATATGTGAGATTCAAAATCTGTATTGCTGTGGTGTTTCGAAGAAAGTTCGTAACCCCAAAACAGCCGGCAACGCATTTTCTTTTTTTTATTGGGACAAGCCCGCCACAACCTCCCAAAACCGCTGCAACTCCTGTAAGCCAGGATCTACAGTAGATACAACCGTGAAAACACCGGAACACTGAAGTCCAGCGCGTCCAAAGGACTTGAATAACTGTCTTGAATCCCGACAAATGGTAACGGCACTTGTAACGCCTCTAGTGTTTCGGGCGTCTATAGTTAGCTCCGATTGCTTACCATCAGGTGATCCGTGCTATCTATACTAATAATATATAATATTATAAAGCTGAAGAGTTTGTTTTTTTGTTTGTTTGTTTGAACGCGCTAATCTCCGAAACTACTGGTCCGATTTTGAAAATTGTTTCTGTGTTGGATAGCCCATTTAGCGAGGAATGTACTGGAATTAAAAATATCACGCTACGATTAATAGGGGCCGAGCAGAGCGCGTGAAACCGCGCAGAAGTAGCTATCAAATAAAAAAGAGTAATAACTTTTTGTTATTTCTTACCCTGTAACTTCTCACAAGAGTTTTGTTTCCCTCCGTACTCTTCTGGTAGAAGATGTCTAGGAAATACTTTGTAGAAATCTTCTAAAGTTTTATGAACTTGTATTCTCTTACCAAGCTTTTCACTCAGCAATTTTTTAACAGTTGCTAGAAGTATTTCTACTGCTTTTGACTCTGTTATAAGGTGTATGTTCTTTAATCTTCCACCGTAGCCTTTCTGAAAAAGTAATTGTTTATGTCCAGTACAGCTATACATAGCATAACATAATATCACGCCTTTTACCCCCGAAGGGGTAGGCAGAGGTGCACATTACGACACTTAATGGTATTGCCATGTAACACACACTTTTCACTATTTATGTTATGAGTCCCATGTGATAGAGGGTGCGCCTATTGCCATATAACGGGCACAATTCCAGACTCCGTGCTCCTACTGAGATTTTTAAAAACCCAATAATACTTTGCCCGACTCGGGAATCGAACCTGAGACCCCTTACCCGGCAGTCGCACTTGGGACCACTCGGCCAACGAGGCAGTCAATATACTTACGATTAAAGTATTAATAAATGGTTGAACATCAGGAGTAGTCATTCTTGCAATTAATTTCAACATGTTCCAGTCGTGGTAGTCAAGTATTATAATGAAACCATCAACGTAGTCATGAGCTCGAATATATTCAACAACCTGGAAATAAAGAAACAGTTTATTAAACCAAATATAAGGCACTAGCTAAATTAAATGTATCGTTAACCGACGAGCATGCATGAAAAGACTGATGACTGTTGAGAAAGCAAAAGAGGTATGTAGGAATCGTAGCAATTGGCATTTCGCGACAAACGACTCGGCGACTGTCACGCTGCTACTGGCTACTCGATGAATATGAGCCCTTAGTATGGCTTGAAACTAATCGAGTTTCTCGACAAACAGTTACGTGTATAATCTTAATTACGTTGTTTCCTGCCTCACTGCCTCGTTGGTCAAGTGGTCGCAAGTGCTACTGCTGGGCAAGGGGTCTCGGATTCGATTCCCAGGTAGGGCAAAGTATTGCAAGGTTTTTTGAAAACTCTTAGTAGTAGCACGGAGTGTGAAATTGTGCCCGGTATATGGCAATAGGCTCACTCCCTATTACATGGGACTCATAAAATAAATAGTGAGAAGTGGGTGTTACATTGTACAGTGGCATTAAGTGCACCTCTGCCTACCCCTGTGGGGATAAAAGACGTGATATTATGTTTTGTTACGTATTATTTTGTTTACTTACAATAGTAGTGTATTGGAAAAACTGCAACAGCTCCTCAGGCGTAAAATCGTCACATTGCGGTTTGATCCAGATTACTCTGCAATAATCTTCTGTCATTTGTGGAAGAGGAATGTGCCACCTGTAGAATAAATTATATGATATAATAAGAATTCTAGGACAATGCTTTCATATTGTTTTTGATTTACTAGAAATGTGCCAATCTTATAGGTATTATCTGCTTTATACTCTTTATACTCTATATACTCTTCTGCTTTATACTATTGTATAAAGCAGAAGAGTTTGTTTGTTTGTTTGAACGCGCGCTAATATCCGTAACTACAAGTCTGATTTGAATGATTCTTTTTGTGTTGGATAGTGCTTTATCGAAGATGGCTATAGGCTACTAAACATCACGGTACGACCAATAGGAGCTGAGCAGAGCATGTGAAACCGCGCGGAAATAGCTAGTTTATGATAAAAGAGATAAAATCCCTTTTTCTTCTTCTTCTCTTTTTTATGATATGAAGGTTTCCGTATCCTAATTAGCTTACACATTGTTTTCTTTTCCGATTTTCTTTATCAAAAATTATCCTATCAAGAACTCTTTTCCTTTCCAAATCATTTTAAATTCAACCTCACATAGTTTTCATTTACTTTATGTTTAGATTCATCATTCTATCGAAAAACTCGTAGAATGAATGATACAATAGAGTAGATACCTAATTTTTTTTTAATGTCGGTCTAGTAGATTATTTTAAGTCAATAGATACTTATTTTTCATACTACCAAAGAGAGAAAGAACGACAATACATTTATTTAGCACTAAGCACGATGCAATAATAACACAATAAAAAGTTCTATGTAATAATATAACAAACATATAGTACAATAAAAATAACCATAAAGAGAAAAATCAGAAAAAAAAGAAAATTACTGCCTCGTTGGCAAATGCAACTGCTGGGCAAGAGGTCTTGGGTTTGATTCCCGGGCAAAATAACAAGTACTAGTTTTTTTTCCCGGGTAGGGCAAAATAACAAATACTAGATTTTTTTTAATTCTCAGTAGTAGCACAGAGTCTGGAATTGTCGCCGGTATATGGTAACAGGCTCCCCCTATTACATAAGACTCATAACATAAATGGTAAAAAGTGAGTGTTACATTGTACATTGGCATTAAGGCCATAATGTGCACCTCTGCCTACCCCTTAGGATATAAAAGGCGTGATGTTATATTATGTAAATATACTTATTTATCTGAGATTGGATAAATAAACAAATTATACTAACAACATGCATATACTTATGCTAAATCAGCTGCACAAACAGCATCTAGCCAAACCAGATACTATATAAGTCACAATTAATTATCACCTATATATGTTTATCCATTTTAATGCTTAATTATTTATAGATCAAGGCCAAAGTCAATGCCAGTTAACAAAACTGGTTAATAAAGGTCAAAATTAATGTAAAACTTTTACATTTTTGTACTACAGTTAAACTAAATATAGCATACGACTTTGAACGTACTTAAAATATTGCTGTTAGCTGCTTCAGCTAGAATTTGAATATTATTTATTTTGTTCTTCTAATACTACAATATAGTCTTTAACAAAACTGTATTAATCATGCTCAATCAACAACTTTCACGATAAATTATCTAAAACTTTCAAAATATTCAAAAATAATGATTCGACAACACCGGTTTGAAAATTCGGTTGCCAAAGAAGAAAAAATAAATAAAACATAATATTCTATTCCTTATGATTATTTTTTCTTTCTATAGTGTAAATAAACTACGTTAAACAAATGGAATATTTGAATGATTGAATGAACTCTACAAATCGAATGGTAAAAAAGATATCCAGCAATCAAAATTATCGCATAATTTTGATTGAGTACCGCCCTATTTGTCCGTTGCCTTGCCTTACGTCGTCGCGCGCGACATTTTAGCGTATCGACGGACAAGACACGAAGCGGGAGGTAGGGTGATGCGCTGCGTTGACGGACAGTCATCACATTTGTACCTAAGATGCAGCTGCGACGTCGCGGGTCGCCGCAACTCTGGTGGGACAATACCTTGTTCCATTGCAACAACGTAACGCAACGCAGTGCAAAGGAAAATCCCCCTCGGTCTAAAAAACGCTTGGACAACCATCATCTTTTTTTTAAACATTGCCTCACATTAGGATTTTGTCCTATATCGTGGGTGCGTTTATAAACATACAAGTTCACATACACATGACACCCAGACCCGAAACAACAATTTGTGGATCACACAAAGTGTTGTTCCGTGCGGGAATGGAACCCGCGACATGTTGCACGGCAGCCGGTTGCCCAGTTACCATGCAGTCAAAGTCAAAGTCTTGAATATCTACTTACACTTTACTTAATACTGGTTTCAACTCCTTTTTCAAACTGTATGCTGTAAAGAACTTTGGCACCAAAGTTTTCATTGTGCACAAAGTATCTATTTGTTTCTTTGCCTTTTCCACAGACCCCTTGCATGTTAGGATAGCTGTCTCTAAAAACCGCTTATCTGAAAAAATCACAACGTAATTACAACAAAGGACAATGTCCAATTTGGCCCTGTGTATTTAAGAGTATCAGAATATACGATATCTCCTATTTCATTATATAAGTTGCAAATACTTCTGTATCACAGGTTAGCTGTAGATATTCCAAAATGTTCATCAATACATAGTATAAAACAAAGTCGCTTTCGCTGTATGTCCGTATGTATGCTTAGATCTTTAAAACTACGCAACGGATTTTGATGCGGTTTTTTTTAATAGATAGAGTGATTCTTAAGGAAGGTTTGTATTTATATACATATTGCACCCGTGCGAAGCCGAGGCGGGTCGCTAGTTTAATATAATTTAACGCGATTAATAACATTGGATCGCCATCTTTGCCTAATCTCAAATTCTTACGCTTAATGTAATAAAGAAATAAATGAGCAAGTCCTATGTTATGTCGTGTTAAAAATGAAAATAGGGATGTCCAATTAATTATAATCGATCGATTGTATTATTTTTTCTATATGAATGCAGTCATACTCTAATTTAAATAGGTAGTAAATACAGTAATACAGTGAGAACAGTAATCAAAACCTCTGTACTTCTATACAATCATTTAAACATTCAACGTTCGTTCAAATATTAATTGTTATGGTGAGATTATAACCTCAAAATGTAATACTTTTATTGATATAATATATATTTTCTGCAGCTAGTCCGCTATAAAAACAAGATGTTCTAGGAGTCTACAAATGATAGAGAATACAATACATAATTAACCGATACTCTTGGCTCCAGGGCCAACAATGTATGAACGCATCAACGTCGCTGTGGACATAAGGCGCGCGTTGTCGCCTTACAATATGTTGGGCGAAATCGGCAAGCTTTGCTTAACTCTCTGAGTACCGTCATTATAGACACAATTAAAGAACAATAGGTTGCGGTCACCGGTGTCCTCGGGGTGTTTGACAGTTTAACATGTCGCCGATACATGTTGTGTGACATTTGGTTTGTCCCTTGGCTTTATAGTAACTGTCCACTTTGCGTGATTTGACCAATGCATGCATCGTTCACAAGCAGTAGGCAGCCTATAAATGACAAAAGCTTGCGTGCTTGCTTGCTTGATTTGAAACAATAAAAACTGTTCATAAAGCGGCAATGTTAAACCAGCTGACTGCCGCGCAACATGTTGCCGGTTTGATTCCCGCACGGAATAACTCTTTGTGTGATCCACAGATTGTTGTTCCGGGTCTGGGTGTGATGTGTATGTGGATTTGTATGTTTGTAAACGCACCCACGATACAGGAGAAAATCCTAGTGTGAGGCAAAGGTTGTTTAAAAAAAAAAGAATCAAAATCGGTTCAGTCGATCGCGAGATAACCACGCACAAACATACTTATACATACTTACATACAAACATACAAACATACATACAGACATACAGGGTCAAACTGACAACCTGCTTTAATCGAAGTCGGTTAATAATAGTGTTTTGCTGTTGTAATCGATGGAAAATTTATAAGAAAAAATAAATACAGTACCGTCGCATAAACAGGATCGTCATAATTAATTATAGGTGACGAGACCTCTACTGCTAATCATAAGCCTCTCGGAGAAGATTAATAGTTAAAAAATGGAGATTTATGTTAATAAAATTATATATATATTTTTTTTAATCAGGTTTCACTGATCGTGATTGAAGTACCTACAAGTAGATGTATAAAAAATAAAATAAAAAAGCAGATCTATAAATGATACTATATCCATATTATAAAACTGAATTGCTGCCTCATTGGCCTAGTAGTCGCAAGTGCGACTGCCGGGCAAGGGGTCTCGGGTTCGATTCCCGAGTCGGGCAAAGTATTACTGGGTTTTGAGTAGTAGCACGGAGTCTGGAATTGTGCCCGGTATATGGCAATAGACTCATCCCCTATTACATGGGACTCAACATAAATAGTGAAAAGTGGGTGTTACATTGTACAGTGGTATAATGTGCACCTGGCACCTCTGCCTACCCCTTCGGGGATAAAAGGCGTGATGTTATGTTATGTTATAAAACTGAATTGCTGTTATAAAAAAATCGATAAAATTTGGACTAATTTGGCAAAATTTGCTAAATTGGTCTTGAATTATTTGTGGAAGCAAACTCCAACTGTCAAAAAGTGCAATCCCACAGAGCATCATCATCAGCCTATAAATGCCCACTACTGATCAAAGCCTCTTCTCACATGGAGAAGGTTTGAGCATTAATCACCACGCTTGCTTAGTGCGGGTGTGCGATTTCAAACTTATAATTAGAAATTATAAATCCAAGTTTCCTCACGATGTTTTCCTTCACCGTTTGTCAGTGGTGTCTAAATCATCTTAGAAAGTACATACAACTCGGAAAAAGTCACATTGGTTCGAAACATACCAACGGCAAGCACCGTTGGTATGGTTCAAACCCTCACACACATACATGAGAAGCTGGCGTCTTAACCTCCTGCAACCATGACATTCATCTCACAGAGCAATTGGGTACTTTCCACGGTATCAAAATTAAAAATCGAATCAGTCCGTCAGTTAGATAATGAAAAAATATTAGACACGTATTTTTTATTTTCTCATATTCATTTGCAATACTTAGATAAAATGGCGCTAAGTTTAGGAGGTCGTTACGTCATAACGTGCTACAAAATGTAGCACGCTGTGACGTCGCACGATATTTCAATTTAATATATCGTCGAAATTATTTCATTTTGTGAGAAAAGAAAAAATACGTGTCTAAAGTTTTAAATTAATGTACCAGACGGACATTAGAATAAAATTTAGGAAACTACCCTATTCCTAGTACATAATCTATCACTAAATACCTATTGTTATTGAATAATAGGAAAAAAACTCACCGAAATCTTTCTTGATGATATGAGGCTGCTTACGTATCCAATCATCCAGAATTTTGATGGCTTCATCCAACCTTTTTGGGTCATCCAGATTATAAATCTTCCTAATTGTATGCACTACTTCTGGTGTGATATTCAGTAGATTACTTTGTGTAGAAGCCATTTTGTGAAGTTCGGACGAAATATTCCACTATTGCCTAAATTATTTGTGAATGTTAATTTATTACACTTACACATCTATTTTGTTTGCAACCTTAATCAATACTAGTTAGCTGATACCTCTGTGAAGGCTTTTTATAACCTTTTTACTATATGACGTTTCTTAAAACACACACATACACGTTATACACGTGTAAACTCTGGACTACATTTACAAAAAAATCGGACAACTCCATCAGAGTCACCTACAATAATGTTTACAGGTAACACTTTTTTTTTTTTAGGGGGAAAATCATCGAATGACTGCTCCCGCCTGGGTGAGGCGGAAGGGAGTGTCAGACTCTTACTGACTGAAAACCACCCCGTTCCTTCTCCTGCACGTCGAGCCGGAGCCCCGGTTACCCGTTAGGTTCTCCGCGACTTACAGGTAACACTATGAGTTACCTGTAAACTATATGTAGGTGACTATCGAGAAGTTACAGTGCTTCGGGGATGTTTTTTGACGCTCGTGACATCTTTAATGCCATAGGTACAGAGCAATAGGATAGCCTCCTGTATGTCCAGAGTTGGCAATTGTAAGAATGGAATTGTTAGGAGTTTGGCTGACCGCCTGGATTTGACTGCAACGTACATACGATGATTGGCTATGGCCACCTAAGATTTTTTTTTATTACATTATGTATGTCTTTACCATTCACGGGACCACAGGGTCCCGGTCATTTGGGGGGCGTACGAGGGGCCGAAGCCAATTGCCCAGAGGCCCTTTAGACATCTTTAATATAAATGTGATGGACACACAAACCAGCGACTATCCCTAAGCACTATGGAAATGCACCCACAGTCCCCGGTTAGTGTAGAACTATTGTGGATAATGGAAAAAGGTAGGGCTATGGATGGGTTGCTGTGGACTGGTAAAGTGGGAACTATGGATGACTATGGCACCTGCCGAAACAATGTAATTATTACACGTAAAAATGGCAGGCGGAGACTCGCCAACTCACCGACCGGGCCCCGGGAATGGTTGCTAGATATGGCAACAGAGGGACAACGAGAATGTGAGTGGCTGAAGGGTTAAGAAACTACCACCGCTTTCTACTCAGATCATCTGCTCCAGCCGAAGCCTTCTGCATCCCTGGCCCACTCGCGACTTTCGAATAGTTTTTTACCCTCCGGGCAGGATCACTGCTTTCGCGGCTTCACTCTGGGTCGGCCGATGAAGGCAAGCCAGAGGTGGAAGACCTATTCTTGGTCATCGTTCACTCCAGCCAGCCAATTAAGGCAAGCCGGAGAATAAGGAACGGTGACTTCTTCCTAGAGCACTCGCGATGATGGTAGCCCGCGGGGTCGCTAATGCCCGTCACCTCGCCTCAAGGTGTCCTGCGGGCTTATTAATATAATTATTAATTTTATGTGTCATAGACTAGTCGTCTGCCTCAGGGAAGTAGACGCAAACGTTACTGCCAAGCCAGGGGTCTCGGAATCGCGGAGTACTTAATGGGTTGTTTCCGGTTCGAAATACAGGAGTAGGAACGGGGTGGTTTTTAGTCGGTCAGAGTCTGACACTCCCTCTCCCCTCACCCGGGAACAAAAGTCATTGGATGATCCCCCTTTGCCCGTCCCCCTCAAAAAAGGGGCACGAGCAAAGGAATACTACGGGATTCTTAGATTTCACAAAATTCTTATACTAAATGATCATGGTGACTCTTAAAATAAGTGGAAAATAAAAGAGGAAGAATATAACTTAATTATAACATAACATAACATCATGCCTTGTATCCCCGAAGGCCAGGCAGAGGTGCACATTATGCCACTGTACCTACAATGTAACACCCACTTTTCACTATCTATGTTATAAGTCCCATGTAATATGGGTGAGCCTATTGCCATATAATGAGCACAATTCCAGACTCCGTGCTACTATTGAATTTTTTTTTAAAACCCAGTAATACTTTGCTCCACCCGGGAATCGAACCCGAGACCCCTTCCCCGGCAGTCGCACTTGCGATCACTCGGCCAGCGAGGCAGTCTTAACTTCTTACTTATAACTACCATTTAATTGTAACAATATGTTATTGCAATATAATCAAAGAAAATTATGCATCAGCTAAAACATGAACTAGGTTAAAGTCGATTCGAAAAATTGTTTAGTACCAAATATTAGGGTGCATCCACATCGTCCGAATGCGCAGCTCACTGCTCGCCCACGAGCTGCGAACGTGCATTTAAAATTATTATTTATACGATGTGTTTCGTCGTGTGGGTGAGGTTACCGGAGGCCCAATTACCCTCCCCTTCCCCAATCTCCCCAATCCCTGAATCCCCAACGATCCTCAAACTCCTAATCCCCAAACAGCTGGTAACGCACTTGTAACGCCTCTGGTGTTCCAGGTGTCCATGGGCGACGCCGATTGCTAACCATCAGGTGATCTGTCTGCTCGTTTACCGACTTATGCCTCTGCCTACCCCTTCGCGGGATAAAAGGCGTGATGTTATGTTATGTGGTTCACTTAATTGAATATACTGAGAAAAGCTCTACTAGTTTCGAGTCACAGAGTACATGAATAAGAGTCTGTATGAGACTGGAAACGTCACAGAGAGTTTTAGTAATGTTATGTGCAAAGTAAGCGAAATCGGATATTTGCCAACTAGTCAAATTCAATACTTTATTTGAATAACTAGCTTCTGCCAGCGGCTTCGCCCGCGATCTCAGGGGTAAAATGCCTATGTATCACTTCAGACCATAATCTACCTCTGTTCCGAATTTCATTCCGGTCCCTTCAGTGGTTTTAATATGACTGAGTAACAAACATACACATAAACTCACATATTTTCATTTATAATATCGAGTCAAGCTAATTTCAACCATTGGCCTTTCAGTTACAGCGTAATGTCTATGAATGAGTATTGTAAACGTTAGAGTAGACAAATACAATCAGAAATCACAGAATTGCTAAGCTATCGGGAGTTTCACGTGTTATTGTGAGTCAACCATAAAAGATAGACATATGCTGTCGAGGAATATTTTTTATATAATTTTAAGGAGAATATTTCCGTCAAATATGATTTCTATGTAGCTTTAACCTATAAGCCTGCACACGCGACGGAAGCTTAAAAAATGGAGTAACTTCTCCCGTTTTCCCAATATTTCCCTTCACTGCTCTGCTCCTTTTGATCGTAGCGTAATGAAAAGTATACTATAACCTGCCCAAGAGTATGAAGAATAATTGTGCTAAATTTCGTTAAAATCCATCGAGTAGTTTTTGTTTCCATAACGAACATACAGACAGACAGACAGACAGACAAAAATTTTACTGATTGCATTTTTGGCATCAGTAGCGATCCCTAACCACCCCTTGATAGTTATTTTTTAAATATATTGTATGTACAGAATTGACCTCTCTACAGATTTATTATAAGTATAGATAATGCTTGCTTTTTACGAATTTTGTAAGATATTGTGTATTGTTATGTCACGTTTTTTTAGCATCAAACAGCATACTTATTTCGTAAAAAATACTGGAAAAATACTAAAACTAAGTTGGTCATAAAATTAATTAATGAAAGTGTGAATATTTTTTAATATTTTATTGTATTTAACAGTTGAATTTAATAATTTATTTTTGATTAAGGAAAGTACACAATTGTAGATATGGCATTTGGCAATTGTGAAAAGTGGGTGTTACACTGTACAGTGGCATAATGTGCACCTCTGCCTACCATTTCGTGGATAAAAGGCGTGATGTTATGTGTTATGTTATGTTTAAACCGTTATCAAATGTAGACTGCAAACAAAAGCATATAAAGTTAAAAATTCAAAATCATTGCCATTCACCAAAGTTGTAAAGATGGAGGAAGATGAATGAACATTTATGGACATTTATCGACCGAAATCGAGGTTAAGTTCCTTAAAGACAGAGCTACACTGTCATTGACCCAGTAACACAGACAATAGTTATTTTGGACACCCTGAAAACCTACTGCTAACAATGTCTTTAAATAGTAAAACAAATAGAGAATAGCACTGCGTCGTACACTGCGAAAATCATTCTTATTTTTTCTTTTAATAAACATTGCCCCACACTAGGATTTTCTCCTGTGTCGTGGGCGCGTTTACAAACATACAAGTACACATATATATGACACCCAGACCCGGAACAACACGGGCCTACGGACGGCGAGCACGAGTTACTCGCCGCCCGACCAGAACCATGCCCGAGCGTACGGCGCGTCGCGTTCCGCGCGCGCCTCAAGGAGCCAACAGACCACCACAGATGGGGCCTAACAGGGCTGATGCCGATACGGACCCGCAGAAGACTTAACGGGTTGCCGGGGCTCCGGCTCGAAGTGCTGGAGTAGGAACGGGGTGGTTTTTAGTCAGTAAGAATCTGACACTCCCTCCCGCCTCACCCGGGCGGGAGAAGTCATTGGATGATTTTTCCCCCTCAAAAAAAAAAAAGACCAGGAACAACGATTTGTGGATCACTCAAAGAGTTGTACCGTGCGGGAATCAAACCCGCGACACGTTGCGCGGCAGTGCAGTCAATTTTCATCAATTTGGAAAATCATTGTCATGATATAGTAATAAGTATCGTAGTAAGTATCCCCCCTGGTTCAAAAGTCCCCTTGTAAAGATCTTAAAAGAAAAAACAAAGTACCATTCCAAATATAAAAAATATGGTAATCTAAGCGATTTCCAGTCCTTTACTATGTTGCGTAAAAGGGCCAAAGACTTGGAAAGGGAAATGTATGTTGATTACATCACAAATATTGAATCAGCAATTTTGAAGAATCCAAAGTCATTTTGGACTTATGTTAAGAGCAAACGGCAAACTAATTCTTATCCCTCCACATTTAAGTATGGCGAAATTAAATCCAACAATGGAGAGGACATTTGTAATATGTTCAGCAACTTTTTTTATTCTAACTTTCAGGAATCACCTCTTTCATCTGGCTCGGACCGTGTACCCTCCACACACCATAAGCCCTCAACAGCAGATATCTGCT